GCTAGTGCAGTGGTTCTCAACCTTCCTCATGCTGCAACCCTTTGGACAGTTCCTCATGTTGTGATGACCCCAACCATAAAATTATTTTGTTGTAGTTCATAACTAATTTTGCTACTATGAGACTCAACTCCCAAAGGAGTTGCATCTCACAGGTTGAGGAATGCTGCCCTAGAGGCATTACCTGGTGAGTGTAAATGGAGTTCTTAGTCTAGATAAAAAGCCAGAGTCAGATATAGAGATCAGAGAGAAGGGACAAGCTACCGCACACTGCACACCTTACCTCCTTATCTCTCTGCTTATATCCTGTTTCTGTCCAGCTACATCGCTTCCTGTTTGTACAGACCTCCAGATCTCTGTGGCTAGCTAGTGGCAAGCTCCATTCTCTGACCACCCAGACAGGCTTTATTTGTACAAGTAAGATATCACCACAAGTGAGGACCCAGGAGGTGTAGGTTTAAGTCTGGGGAGGCATTTTCATAATAATTATCAGTCATAGAGCATTCATGGATGTGCTCTTGTCTTTTCTCCTCAAAGTAAGTTGCTCACCTGTGTTGTGCTGTTGTGCTCTCTTCAGCTGTTTAAAGTCTTGATACTATAGCTCAGCTACCCAACATTTTGGAAGAGTATGATGTAGTAGGATTAAGGGAAGTTGTCAGCTCTTCTGCTTCCCATGGCAGTGTACCCGAAGTTTTTTAGGCAGCAGAGGTGTCATTTCTCCTGTCAGCTTTTAGATACTTGTACAGTCTCTGTAGCTTCCCCTTTCTGGCTGTTTATTCCCTAAACTATTGTTTGTTTGTTTATTGGTTTGTTTTGAAGGCATAGTCCATATTGACTCTCTGCTGTTCCTAAATTTGAATTTGAGCAGTTGAATTTTGAAATATTTGATAACTCTTTGCCTTATCTTTGATCAGTAGTTTATTTTTATGTTTAATGAAAAAGTCCAACTGCATTATGCACCAGTGAGACTAACTCAGCCGAAGGTAGTAATTGGGTGCTTAGGCATCTTTGTATGGATATGTGGTCTTGAAAGTCACTCAGTGTTAGAAAATTTAAGGTCATAATACACAACTCTTTGGCTCCAGTTTCCCCAAGCAACTTGAAAAATAATGGAAAGCAAAAGCAAGTACAAGTGCTCATGGAGGCCCCTTGACTTCAGCTGAGCCTAGGCTGGTTCATCAAGATCTTCCTGCAAGGGGAGCTACCCCACCTCATCCTCTGGTGTCTGCCAAGCACAGGCATTTGCATGTCTGTGACTATCAACTCAGACACAGTGTACAGTGTTTCAAAGACTTTCTTCTCCATGCTGTAGGGTTGTCAGGGATTGCCTTGCCGAGGAAGGTAATGGATAAGTTTTTTTGTAAACTCAAGAAATGAGGACAGGCCAATTGAAACTGATTTACATACATAGCTACCTTTAAAAGTCACCCCATTTGGAGTTCGTCCATTTATCATGCTGCAAATCATGCACTAGGGGATTCACTGGGAATTCTGTGACATTTTCCCCCAGGAGTTCATTTAATAAAGGGGAAGATTCCCCTTTTTATTTATGGCTTGATATTGGACCTCAGCTGTATATGCTAGGCTACATCCATGTAATAAAGATCTTATTAACACAATCAGCTCTGGTAAGATTTTAATTTATCATCAATTTTAAATGTTACTTCCAAATTCTCCACACAAAATGAAAATTCATTGCTCTCTTGTTTGTTAAGTACTCAGATGCCTTTTCTTGTACTTGTCATAGGCAACTGGACTTTAGATTATGTTGCTCCCTGTAAAGTAAATGTTTGCAGTGTTTGCACTTTTCCTGGGGGGAGAAGCCAGATTTTCTACTGCTTTTTCAAAGATGTTGATGAGTCCAATAAATTTATTGTTACAAACCAGTCAAGATATAGTTTGTCATTTCACAGATTTTTTTTTTTTTAAACATGTAAGACAAGCTTAATTATGTGTTGGTGGAATCATTTGCTTGGAAGATGTTTGCTTAGTCCAATGTCTGTGCAAAAGACCTTTTCTAACATTAATGCTTTATTCACTTTAGTAAAATGTTTACAAAGGTAAACTATTTTGTTTGGAGACTGAATGAACTTAAATTTAGCAGTTCACGATGTTAGCTTTGTAATGATATTCATGAGTGCACTTGAGTTTTCTGTTAGTGGAATGTCAGTCTATCCCTGCCACCTCCTGGAAGTGGTGTGAAAAGTCTGTCTTCATCAGAATAGTAGGCAGCCATTTCCTCTTCACTCCTTGTGGCTGATCTGTGCTTCAGTTCTCTAATCAAGAGTACTCATCAGTGGTCTGTGCTATTGTAACCTTTGATCTCAAGAACTACATATTTTCCAGGTACTATTCTTAGGTTTATAGAAGAACAGCAAGATGAGCAAATGGGCCCTGGTTTGCAGAAACGGCTGGGAACTCATGCTTTACAGCTGTAGAAAGAGAGATTTGCTGAGAGAGAGCCCCTTCCCCCAGTATGATAGGAGTTAAACCCCAGAGGAAAGGAAAGATTGGGCTAGGTTTGAGGACAGAACCTTTGCAGAGGTCTGAAGGTCAAGGGAGAGGAGAAGTTGGCGTTGAAACCACAGTTGTAATGAAGGTTATAGTCATAGATCTGGCGGATTACACATTAGAAGCCATCTGGGCTTCAGAGTAAGACCATTTTTCTTTTCCAGAAAACAAAAGGAAATTAAAAGGCAGATGTACAGGGTGCAGCATCATTACAACTTGAATTACTTGTCTTGGTTTAATTTCATTTTCCTGTGATTAAAGTATACCTGTAATGGTCATAATTTCCCTGCAAGTTTGTATCTGTGTCTTACACGATTGATTTTACTTTCCCGTGATTTGCTTCTTAAATGTGCTGCATAGCAGCTGGGTGGCCACAGGTAAATCTGTTGACTTGTCTCAGAAAACACCTGAACTGGAGAGTAGTGTGGCCCTCCAAGTGTTTCTAATATTCCTGTGTTTAGGTTCAATTGTCTGCACACAGCTGTCTCTCACATCCTGCTGTTTAGTAAAGATAGCTTGTGCTTGATATTGTAGAACCAGATATTTACTTAAAGTGGTATTTACCTTAAAGAGCTGTAGTATAAGGAAAAGTTAAATAAAACTAAAGGATATTGAGGAGAAATAATTAGTAGAACTTGTGTATTTAATCATCAGTAGGGCGTGTTGAGGAAAATTCTCACTGACTCCAAGAAAGTAAAAGAGCCCTAGAGAGAAGGAAACTAGCTTGAATGAGCTGATTCAGTATTTTCCCCAAGTAATGTGTGGTATTTCATATGTGTGGCTAGGTGCACAAGATCAAGGTGTCCATAGGTGGAAATCCTCATTAGCTTATTGACATGTTAGGTAACAACACTTGCTTCTGATAACTTGAAAAAGGGCTCTGGTCTGCACTGCAGCTGGCTCTGATGGAAGAGTCATTTATAATAATAGACCACAGTGTTATGGGGTGGTGGCGTGGAGAATATGATACTCTCCCTTTTTGTCATTTCATTTTCCAGAATCTCCATGGATTTCAGTGCTCACCATGGCATCATTTGTTTGCTTAGGTGGATTTTTGGATTATAGTATCTACTTTTTAACTGACTTTTACAAGAAGGTTCTTAACAAAGAAACTGCATATTGAAACAAAAACAGGGCAAGCTGATAGAGCTGTACTTAGAAACTAAATGAATACCCACCTGCTATGTATGATCTAGTCAGTGTAGATATCTGAGATTAAAGATTTTCAAGGAAGACCTGATACACATTCCTTTCGATACTGACTCTCAGTCTAAGAGAAAGCTGTGCCTTAAGTTTTCTTTTAAAATTTGTTATTGAGACAGGATATCAATAATACATAACTCTGGCTGTTCTGGAACTCATTCTGTAGACCAGGCTGGCTCAAACTTACAGAGAGATCCCCTTGCTTCTGCCTCCTAAGTGCTGGGATTCCAGGCATGCACCACCAATGCCTGGTTTAAAATATTTCTTATTGATGACAAAAAAGTCATTGATTAAGAAAACATATAAAAAGGTCACAATGTTAAAGCAACAGTTAGAAAATTTGTATGCCATTTGTCTTATCTCTTCTGTGTATTTTGAAATACACATAATTTAGCAATATACTAATTGTATATAAATAAATAGAAAGCATGTATGGCAACGCAAAACCTTTTTTTCCTGATAAGATCGACATTCTGCTAATAGATAGCTCAGAATTAATAAAAACTGGATGAGGGAGATAGAAGAGGTTTTCTTTTCCCACCACCCACATTGGCAGCTCAAGGAAGACTTCATGTAACTTCAACTCCAGGGAATCCAGTGCCCTCTTCTGGTCCCTGAAGGCACTAACACATACATAACAGGCACACAGACGTACACATGCATGCATAAATAATTTTTAAAAAATCCTTTTTAAAAGTTCACACTTTACTATATAATAAAGTTAACGGTATTAATTGTGAGTAACCCTAAGGTAAGCAGAGTTTGGTGGCATCTAGGTTTTGTTTTGACTCAGTCGTTTGTGTATAAGAATGTTTCCCAGTGTATCCTAGCTCCTCATATCTAAACCCAGTGTCTCATATAAAACATCTTCTAGCTGTATTTCCATGACATAGCTTAAAGAACTGGAGGCCAGTGGAGAGATGTGTGTTGGCAAACCCTTCTGTAACTCAGTGTATGGTATCTAATGTTAACTTGAATTCCTGGGTCTCTAGGAAGTGTGGTCATGCACTAGGATATCTGGGTGCTCAGTGAAAAGTAAAACCAGAGGAACAAACCTATGGGGACTTGAGGATTTTATGGTTATTCAGGTATTGATTAGTGAGCTCTATTATTGATGTGCTTAAACTTGAATTTCTGCTGTGAGGCACATTCCAAGCATACCTGTTAATCTACTTTGCACCGATGATCAATGTTAGCTCTTAGATCCTGAGTGTCACCTCTTAGATGTGTCATATGAAACATAGCTTTCATCTTGCAGAATTTCCATGGATTTGATGTGCTGTGATTCACTCATTGAGAAAAGTAGAGGTAAAGCCCTTTTTTCTAAAGTCTGAGATTAATACCTGCCATGTTGTGATTAAAATAATTTCAAATCCAATTAGATATGTTTCTCACAAATCAAAATATATAGAATGCATGACCATGGCTTATGGTCGTGTCTGATGAACAGTCCACTGAACCCTAGTGCATTTATGCTCTCCAAGATTGAGCTGAATAGGGAGGGGGTCATGCGTGACCTTCCTCCGATGCTAACTGCATTAGCCTCTCAGGAATGTAGGTACTCAGTTTTTGCTGCTGTTCATGACATTGCTATCCTGGGGAGAGTCTCTGTGGTGGATGCCAAAGTGAGTATTTGAACATGCAAGGTTTGGTATGGAAAATCTTAAATTGAATTTGGGGACACTGAAACTGTTTTCCTTTTTCTTAGCCTCAGCAACTTGAGTTTGGTGGTCAGATATCCAGTTGTACATCCTCCCATCAATGCACTGCCAATGGTAAGATGACTCCCTTTTCCTTTTGTCCCGTGTCAGTGATTCATAGCTGTACTTGCTCTTGCTTTAAAGAGACTTTTGAGAAATAGAAATTTCTCAACAATCTGAGATGACTTAGAATTTTTAGCAAAAGGAACCCTACTTTGAAGATTCTCATTTTTCTGTAATTTTATGGTTATTGCTGTGATGAGATACCTTGACCAAGAAATATTACCAAGAGGAAAACATGTATGGGGACTTACAGTTCCACAGGGTTAGAGTCCATAACCATCAAGGCAGGGAGCATGGTGGCTGGCAGGTAGGCAGGCAGGCAGGCAGGCAGGCATGGGGCTGGAGCAGTGGCCAAGAGCTTATGTATTGAAACAGCAATCATAAGGCAGAGAGGGCTAACTGGGAATGGTGTGGTCTTTTGAAACCTCATAGTCCACTTCCAGTGATGCATCTTTTCCAACAAAGGCCACACCTTGTTAAAAATATGATATTGTTAGTAATTGTTCCTATATTTTTGTCTCTCATTTTGGTTAGTTTTAGGGCATTTTGCTTATTCTGATGTTGCTAGTTAACATTCAGTTAAATATATAAGATTTTACATTTTTATTTAGTTGATAACTCTAGGGAGAGACGTTTTTACCTCTTTTTAAAAAAAATTTAAAATAAAAACAATCTTATTTTACATACCATTTCCAGTTCCCTCTTCCTCCTCTCCTCCCATGCTCCCCACCAACCCCCCATCTCCTCCTCAGGGAGGGTGAGGCCTGTTGTGGTGTGGGGGGGGTCATCAAAGCCTGTCACATCATTTGGGACGGGGTCTGGACGCTCTCCCATTTTTACCTCTTTAGAAACGTCTTTCACTTTGGATTATAAACCTCAGCTGTCTGTAATAATGACTACACTTCTGAATGTACCAGGGCTCTCTGACTTTTGGCAGTGTTTGATGACTTGTGAAAACTTGGTAGAACAGTTATATTAAATTCTTAAGACTTATTCAAATTATAGACTTACAAACTAGAGCTCAGAATGATTATTCTCCTACTTTAATATTGTTTTGTGTTTGGGGGATAAGTAAATAGTAGATAGAGTGAATGTTTTTTTTCTGGTCTTTGACACTGAACCTAGGACTTTGAACTGGACACTCCCTGAACTCAACTGAACAACTATCTTCTGTGTGAATCTTCTACATGAAAACATTTTCCTAGCACATTACCAAGCATTATCATGATTTTTTCTTCTTTTTTTTTTGGTTTATCAAATTTCAGTTTCAACATTAAGTTATGGAACTGTAGAAACTAAGGGTTATAGAGTTGGATGAGAATTAGTAGATGTATCAGCCTGAAGTAAAAGGAATTAGAAGTTATAAAGAACCAGAGTAACCGAGTAGGGCGACTAAAAGTAGTGACAGCAGGGGTTCCCCAAGATGCTTGCACGCTGGTTAAAAGCAAGGTTCCCTTGTCTCATGTGTCTTAGCTTAGAATTTTTTTTTTAATTATAAAAAAGTATTATTTGACAATTTAGTTTGTGTGTATAATGCATTTTGACATATTTTCCATCCCCCCCCCCTTAACCCCCTTCCATTCCCTCTGGAATTTCCCTTCTTCCTAACACTCCCTCTTTTGGAGGGGGCGGGCTTTTCTTCTTTTTCTTGGCTGGCCTAGAACTCATAGAGATCAGCCTGCCTCTGCCTGTGCCTCTGCCTCCTGAGTCCTGGGATTGAAGGCATGGGCTACCATGTTAACAACCATGGGCTTAATCATGGTAAATCTTGATGAGTGGTTGTAGGGTTTTTTGCTGAAGCAGTGACAGCTTATCAGTAACTACACTTCTGAAGAGAAAGGAACCCCCCACCCCCACACTCCCCCCAGGAGCCATTTACCACCCTTCTATCATTTACTGGCAACTTCTGAACATTTTCTTCCACAAGTGACTCAGGAACCAGTTTTCTTTCTCTGTGGTTTCTGAAGTGTGGCAAGTGCCCTTACCTTCTGGGACACCTCATCATCCTTCTAGATTCTTACTAGAGAAAGAACCTGGTCCTTTCTGTCCTCCTGTCCTTTCTGCTCCCTGCCTAAGGCATGAGCTTTTGCTTGGAGGAGACTGCTTGTTTTACTTGCATCTCTCATTCTGGGTGTTGGAGTCTTCACTTGTGGCAGTAGGGTGCTGTCTCTCTCTCTCTCGCTCTCTCTCTCTTTTTTTTTTTTAAAGATTTTATTTATTATGTATACACCATTCTGCCTCCATGTATGCCTGCGCACCAGAAGAGGGCACCAGATCTCATTACAGATGGTTGTGAACCACCATGTGGTTGCTGGGAATTGAACTCATAACCTCTAGAAGAGCCATCTCTCCAGCCCCCTGTCTCTGTCTTAAGACCCTCCTTCCTTTGGAGTCGGCCACCATGTAGACTGTATTACGGGTTTTGTGTTTGAATTGTCTAGCCTCTTAAAATGGGTTTCACATGACCAGGACCTACAGTATTTTCCTGGGCAAGTTGTTTTATATTCTTTCTGGAATTCTCATCAAGTTATCAGGACTCATTGGCCAACAGGTTATATGATTATTTTGACATTTTTTTTTAAAAAAAGTTTCAAACATGTATTAGAAAAAATCGTAGCTCCCTTTCCTACCCATGGCCTTTGTTACAGATCTTCCTTCTTACCAATTGTTGCCTGCTGTTCCTGCCCCCTGATTGATTATTATGCTCATTAACATAACATTTTATTCTAAATATTTCAATATTAGAAGTTAAAGACTACTATATAATCATAAAACCATTCTTCTGCCTTAAACCGGCTTTGATTTCTTTGGGTGGGAGAAGGAATATAAGTATATATTTATACTTGAAACCACATAACAGGTTCTTTCTGCACCATTGTTAATGTGCCAGCAGTTGCTGATTATTTGTAGCAGTTCATCTGCAGCTCTTTCATTTCCTTTTTCTCTGGATTTGAGTACCTTAGAGTCCTCCTGGAAGCAACATTCTAACAATACTTGTTCTGATTGTCTCTTTTAGTTTCCATATATGGTGTCTTAAAGTCCATCATATTGTAGCTGATGGCACTGTTTCCTCTCCCTCCCTCCCTCTTTTTTTTTTTTTGGTTTTGGTTTTGGTATCATTTAGCCCTGGCAGGCTTGATGCTTGCCATGCAGATGAGGCTAGCATTGAACTCACTAAGATCCTGCCTGCCTGCCTCGGCCTCTTGCATGCTGGGATTAAAAGCATTCATCACCATGCCTGGGCTATTTCCTGCTTTTCAGAGGCTGACTAGCACACCATTTTATGCACATAGTGTATTACCTTTCTCGGCTTATTGCTTTGCTTTGTGAACATTTGGATTGCTTCTCTTTTATTTTTTCCTTGGTAGACTTATCTGAGATCCTGGTTTTAGATTTTAAGTTCTTTTTTGGAATTTAGAGTAGGCCTTTGGTATTTTAATTTTACTCTTTTGAAAATTTCCATACCTTGTTCCAGATGTTAGTTATCTAATAGATGTAAGATGTTGACAATCTTTAATAGTCATTAAGTTTCTTGAACTTCTCTTAAGTATGTTTTCATAGAACAGGAACAAGATACCAAGTTGCTGTGCAGCTTACTTAACTATACCTTTCTATCTGTAAAGTTTCCCTGACTGTTTTGTTAATTGTGTCTCGTTAAGGAAATACTCATTTTTTTCCCTTGTATTTTCTGCAAATCTGAAGCTAGGTCTAAGGGTTTGATCTAATTTTGCTGTCACTTCTCATTATCTGGAAGGTTAGGGAAGCAGAATTATCTGTAAACTTTACTAGTTCATCCTTGACGAAGCATCTAGTAGTTGAGAATAATCATTGGTTATCATGGTCTAGATTGGAAGTTCATTATTCCATGAGTGTGCACAAACATTAATGTTCTAGCCTGTAGTGTTTCTGTAAAGAAAACCTCTCCCAGGCCTCACTGCCCTAGGTCAAATACTGACTTGTTTTCCATGTTCCTAGAAGATAGGGTTTGTTGAAATGTTATTGTGAGCTTGTGGATTTGAACATTTGACATATTTTTTGCTTTGTGGTTTTATTCTTATTGATGTGAGATTTTCTTGGCAAAAGGAGCCTTTTCAAGTCGACTTTGCAGTCTTTGAAGTGACTATAGTAGACTTTGATAAGAGCCCATGCTATCTGATAACAAGATTTTACTAACGTTGTCTTCTGCCCCTATTCCCCAAGTCAACTCTGTGTCTAAGAATTCCTGATTGTTTTAAGGACAATATTGAACTGAGACCACAGTATTTGGCTCATGATATGGGTTGATTCTGGTTAGGGGAAGCTGTGTGTGTGTGTGTTATTAAATTAAGCCTTTTATTTTTAAAATACAAATCCTTAGCCAGTATTTTCATGATGAAAAATACCTGTTAATGATGTTAACATAAACTTGATTATTTTTGTGCTTATGTATGTAATATATGTAATAAATTACAAAATATTTAAAAATAAACACATCTTAAAAAAAAAATTCACCAATATGTTACATATTAGTAGTCATATTAATTATATCTAATGTTAATTATAGTAATTGCTATACTGGTTGCTTATTAATAACGTAACTATATGACATAATTATTGTTAAAGACCATATTAATTTTTATCCCATATTTTAATATTTAATGGTGAATAATAAAGCAATTCTATAATAAACTGACATGTAATTAAATATAGTTAACATAGGATTTGGTTCTTTGAGACAGTCTCCTGTCTGTCTGTCTGTCTGTCTGTCTGTCTGTCTGTCTGTCCTATCTCTATCTATCTATCTATCTATCTATCTATCTATCTATCTATCTATCGCTGACCTTCAATTCAGTTTTCCTTTCTCAGCGTCTTAAATGCTGAGGTTACAGTATGCCACCCTGGCCCTCCTGGCTGTTCATGTTGATATTTTCTTATGCACAGCTGGGCTAGTGCTCCTCTGATCTGGAAACAATTGGGTGCTGTGTTTGTTTTTCTCCTCCCCCACAGCCCACTGGTTTACCATTTTGTTTAAT